CGGTTAAAACCATTCTCAAGCGATGATGAAGATATACCGTTAACCTTGTCACAAAAGCTGCTTCGGTTTATTGACTTCAAGGATACTACTACCTCCGATGATGATGAGGTAAGGCGCAACAGATTATATTCTGTAAAGTTAACATTAAATACCTTCGACTGAGCCCCCGACTAAGGGGAACTTTGCATCTTCCACTAGACTTAAATCGATTCGGGAATCGTTAAACATCAAAACCACACGGTCACGTTCTTCTAACAAACTACCGGCAGGGGTATCGTAGCCAGAAGTCGAGTAATAAATATAATTTGCATGCCCTGCGCGTTTTTGAGTTGTTGATTTAACCCGTCGCACCTCATAAATTGAGCTCTGTTAAACTAATTCAAGTTATTCATAAACCTTACACGGCAGTTATTACGTGACCTTGCAGCCTCGAATATCGTCGTACGATCTTAAGTTCTCGTTTTTTTAAATTTCCTATTTACTTGCTTTGCTCAAATTAATTAGCAATTAAACTGAATTTCTGGTAAAGTATCCAAAAACATAGATATGTTTCGCATGCAAAGAAAATATATTAGTGAATGTATAAACAAATTGAGCCTCGTTCATTTCTTCACTCTTGTTTGCCAGTAACAGTGTAGGGGGCGCGGGTCGGTTTTTGCCTTTTTTTTTTTTTTTTTTGTTTTGGCCGTGACAGCTCCGTTTGGCATCTGTAAAGCTGTATACTCGCACATCTTGCATATTTCTTGGTTACGCTGCACCTTGGCATTGTCATTGTCAGGAATGTCTGCATGGGCAATACGTGGATTGAGAAGCCGGCCTTCAATGTATGATCGTAGATGTTAGTGAGATTAAGCCAGCCATTTTCTCGAGGTGCCGAGAGAAATCGGTCTATTTTACGACTGTAGAGTCTTAATTGTTACGAAGTTCATCTTCGTTTCCAATGCCGTAAATAGTCTTGTGCATTTAGCAGATAACGGATACAGCAACTCTGGAAATTGGTCCTGCAAGAGTTCTACCGGATGAAACAACAGAAACGGATGGAACCGAGGAGAAAACCGACGAAGAGAAATCCGGAATTTCGCCAACGTCGTCAACAGGAACGCGGGTTTCTAGAGCTTCGGGGTCTTCTAGACCTCGAATTGTAACAACTACATCCGACGATTTTACAAGTGTTACGACTCAGGAAGGAACTTCAAGAGCATCAAGTCCCTCCCGAACATCGACGTCTTCGAAGTCAACTTCCGGAACATGCGACATTTTGTCCCGAATTTCTAAATTATGGTAGTAGATCAATTAACTGTATGACTATTCAATCACGACATTAACGGACCCGTCAGAATCGAAGATGCTTCTGTATGTAGTGGATCGTGGTTGCTTGCGTGTATTCCTGAATTTCTCTCTTCTAAATGAATTATATTGCTAAATAAAATAATTCTTCTGTCTTGTTTGAAAGCAAAGTAAATATGATCACAGCCCGTTTAGGGTCGTGGAGTAGATATCGTACCTTGCTTAGCGCTTTTCAAATGCATTTTATTTTAACCCGATTCTCAAAAAGTTGATAAAGGTAATGATGCTTACCGACTATTGAACCAACTTTGCTTTTGGTACCAGCCGTTTTGGTACCAGCCGTTTTATCTAGGTGTTTTGCTATTGGTTTAACATGACACAAAGTTAAACACGTCTCACAGCCTCACGTAAGCTATAAGTCAATCTAACAGCAGTTACCCTACCCCATCAAGCCCGTTTTCCCATCGGCTTGTTCGAAATCGTCTGTTGCCATGTCGCAGCTATCACTTCGTTATGTTTTTAATAGATAGCCACCCAAATTTATCTGTGTATATGTTTAGTTAACCCCAGGGATTAACCGGGGACTCGGTCTGTTACTAATACTCTCCCTAATCCAACATCAGATGCGGACTAATATTCACGTCCAATACCGCTGCTAAGCATTGGTTTAGGTTCGGATGCCAGCTTGAAACTCTACACGAACCTAAATAACTTCATGTGGCTTAGATTTGATACCGAGCATAGGTGGGTTTGGTATTACCCGGTTGCCACTTTACCGGTGGTACATAACCCATTCCTGCTAGTTGCACTGGTTTCGTTTTCCGTTACAGTTAAGCACTTTCCCTACATTTATATAGACATAATTTACGATGTTCTAGTATTTTGGCCTGAAAACAAATCGTCTCAGTTACAAAAACGACAACAATTTTCTTAAATATCCCAAGTATTTCGATTGCATTAGGTCATACCAAGGCACTCAAATCTTTGAAATTCAAGACGTGTGTAATAAATTGACGGAGCACATTAAAGGATCTCATTTTGTTTTAAAAAGCTTCACAGGCCGGTCCAACTTTCAAAATGCATCGTAAGGATAGAATCGAAGTACAGTTATGCTATAAAATGACATGGGCTTCGCCACAGCGTATCTGAGACATAACCCGGCTAATGAACGGAGGAGAGGTTGCATTTTAAGAAGCCCTAACTTGGCTGAAATTGACGTAATGCGTCACCTCAACCATTTCAAAGTGAATCTAACATCGATGGTGCGGTCAACTCCTAGGAAACACGGGGTCATCTGCTTGGTTTCTGCGTAAACCCACTATTAAGCTTGAATAATTTATGCCCAATTTCAATATACACCAAAGCAATTCTAGATCTCTTTGAACTAATAGTGTTTCTCAATAAAAGATATACATAATGCACGTAATTATATAGTGCAGCCGAAACCGGACAAATAGAAAAGTTCATCAATAAAATAGACAAACAGGCCGGGAATTGAATTTGCCAGGGAACACTGTTGAGGGCTTCAATGTAATGCGCAACGTAACGTATTCTAGCGATTCACCGTTAAACTGCTGTCTTCTGCAAGTGTAATCACGATCCGTTGTCAGCGTCTTGATGCGTCAGTTTTTCATTGAAGAGAGGATCCGGTTGTTTTAATGAACGACCTGATCGAACACCGACATTGCTTAGCAACGTCAAATTGAATATCGCTTGTTACGGTACGTCTATAAGGTAAACGGGGTTCTTCAATTAATTGTTTTATTCTGCCTTGGGGTATATTTGAAGATGCTACATATAAAGCAGTAGGCATTTCTTATTTGTCAATTAAAATTCAAGATGTAAAAATATTAACGGCACCAGCCTCAGAAGTACAGATGCAGTGAGGAAGGGTTTAAAAAAAGTTGAACTGATCACTAGCGAGAATATCGTTGTGAGAGAATCTGCCTAATAGATGTTAACTCTGGGTACCTCAACACGAATTTTTCAGCTAATAAAAGCTTCGTATTTAAAGTGAAGCTCAACACTCACTGCAAGTTTCATATTACATATTTTAGCTGAGCTTTCAGTAGCAACTCCACTAGTTTCAGCAGTGACGTTCGTCGACTAGTTTGATTTTTAATCTAAATTAGGCCAAATATTAAGAGATGGTATAGAGTGACAATGAAATCGTTACGTCTTCTTTAATTAGATCATCTTCACTTAATTCACTTTTTCTTTCAATTCTTCACTTAATTTAAACTGTTAAAGTCTGACATCATGTGATAATTAGGTCAAATGTATTACCGCAGGGACACCTAACGAAAGTGGCTTTTTCTTTACAGTTATGCTCTGTGAAAGCAACAATACAAAAACCAATTATCTATAGCTGGTAAACTGTTTTATGCGCTTCACAATGCAAGGATCAAGTATGATCTTTCATGCTTTTGAAATATCGTTATAGTGAGTTCCTTAAATATGTTACGTTGCAGAAAACAATCTTTAGTATTATAATCTGCGGGAGGTAAGCCCACATTTAATAGAACCTAAGAAATATCGCAAACGTTCTATAGTGGCCGCGTGGTATAGCTAATAGGCCTGTTTATAAACTGTATGGCCCCAATATCAAAATAAGATTTTGATGCCCTATAGTTAGATAAACCAAATAGAATTCCTTATCGCTTTTTGCAACGCCACAAACTATAGGTCAGATGACAACAGATGAGTATTGCGACGGCACGATTTAAGGGCATTTAGGGCGATAAGCTAAGGCCGCATTACGTACCCCGGACAAATTAATGCAACGTGATATATTTACCGACTTCGATTTGCTTTCGCCACACCTTTGATTGCGATCACCTAATTTTTCAAAAACCCTAAGTTTCTGCGTCCTAACGGAGCAACGTTTTCGCAGCAGTTCGGATTAGAGTGATGAGCAGAAGTCAGGACGATGTGATCAGTTTTGTCGACTTTCATGTACTCTTCATATACTACAGGATATAAAAATAAATTTAAAGATTTTATAAATGTTAGTTTATGTTGGATTATAACGTGCGTTTTTACCTATCTGAAATACGCTATCTGAAACAATGACCTTTATGATACCTTAAAACCAAATAGAAAAGCGATTTGGTTTTCCTCTATATTAATTTTTATATCTATAGCTAGAGTCTGAACACGTAGCGCCCCTTATTGAATACTTGTTCCTCTGAAGAAGCAGACAAACGCAAGTTCGTCGGATCAGATGCCTTTCTGCTAAACTTAGTGAACTTTCTCAGGGAGTCCAAATATAATACGAGTCCTTCTGACTTGCATTTCGCGTCTAGACCGTACATAGTTGAAGAGCGGTTTGGAAAGAAGTAGAGTAAATGCAGCAACAGTACAAGTGGTTTCCGCATCGGTGCACACGGACGGCTGTCTATATATACAGCTTACTTTCGGTACACCGCTTTAAAAACCAAAATCTGTTCAAAGGATAAACCCAACCGAGACCTATCTTCATAATGAAAAAAAGCGAGAACGGACAGCTTTACGCTCTTTCTCTTGTTGAAATATATGGGTTGCAAATAGTTCCGTCAAAGCATCAAATTATCTTCAGTAACAACTTTTGAGAGAGGATGCGCACTTAAATAAATATATATAGAAAATATATAAAATCATACACTAACCTTCAGTTAGATCATTGGCAGCTGTTGCAATAAAAATACACGTTATTATCGTAACATCACTTTATCTACGCTACTTAAAAGGGTTTTTTGTCTTTATATGTAGTAATCACACAAACTTCATAAAGCCAACTAGACGCGGTACGCCCGAACAGATTAAATTATCAATAACATAGTGAAATATAAAAAAAAGTAATCGTAAGCATTACTAGGCAAGGTAACATTGAATTTTTATCAAGAAGAACTACATACATCCGAACGCTCTTGAATGTCTACATGAGAACACCGTTCAGGGTCCTGTCTATGCCTCTACCCTGCACCTGATATAATTTACATGCTTGCAAGGTACTCGATAGAAGATTGTTTAATTATTAGTTGACGTATTTTTGTGGGTGTCTATATTGATTCAAGTATCAATTTAAGGGTATCAGTCAAATAACAATGAACGTTACTAGTTTAATGCATCGTATATACTAAGCGACCCAGAAAAATAGTACACTTATACCGTATTCTTCAAATTCGTGTTAACAAAATTAGCGCAAAGTTCTTATTTTTTTTTCTTGCTATATTATTGTTTTTATACGCTTAGAGCGTAGCCGAATTATTTAAATGAAAAAATTTTCTAAAGTAAAAAGAGGACTCGTTGATTGTTTGCTTGTGTTATTTTTAATAATATAAAAATTAAGCAGAAGCGTTTTGGACCATGCACGCATAAATAATTAGCCGGCTCTCGAAGGCTCTGCATGCACAATACATTAGTCAGTCTGCTTTCCTCAGTCAAGCAGCCCTAGTCTGGTTCAGCAGGCTTTTCAGTCGTACAGGGATATTTAACGGCACCTAAACAACAATGCAACCTCTCGCTCCGCCTTTTTCAGAGCGAAGCGGCGAATCATATTTTTTAAAGGATAGCATGTACACCTTATAATCATGTGCACAATGAAAGTTGAAGAAAGTTGGTCATATTAAGTTAGGTGTTCATTGATGATTCGATGTTTCTTTTTGTTGCTAGTAATAAGGTCATTACTTGAGGCAAAGACGGTACGCACACCGAATTAGCAAAATCAACAGTACGACAGAATGCCTACTAATTACCTAGTCCTTTTAGTGGCTTCTGTCCGGCACCCTCTTTCTGGGAGCGTCCTTTATAATGCTGTCTACTCGCAAGATCATCTCGGCCGCTTCTGATGCCGATAGTAAAACTTGTCGCTTCACCACGAATGCTTCAGTTACGCCGAGTTTCTCCATGTCGTCAATCTTTGCATCAGCTATGTTGATACCGAAAGTACTCTGGCCATTGGCGTGTGCAGCACGTAACTCCGATACCAGCTGTGCCGAATCAAGACCAGCATTGTCCGCAATGATTGTTGGCAGTTGGCGAAGCGCCCTAGCAAATGCCTCAATGGCAAGGGCCTCTTTGCCAGGTGTGGTCTGCGCGACGCTGTCGACGGCTGCGGCCATCAGCATCTCTGCACTACCTCCACCATAACAAATTTTTTTCTCCTTGACGACAAATGCGAGTACACACAAAGCGTCGTGCAGCGAGCGTTCAGCCTCGTCCAAGATTTGTTGGGTGGCTCCACGAAGCACGATAGTGCAGGCTTCCCCGAGCGGCACCCCACTGAATTTCAATAGTTTGTCCTCGCCGATCATCACCTCCTCAATAACATCACACGTACCTAGCCGCACACTTTCTGGGCTGGTGAACGTCGATACGATTTCGCCGCCAGTGACCAAAGCGAGTCGTTCAATGCCATCAAAATCGGCGTGCTCGATAGCCATAACACCAGCATCAGCGAAGAGTTGCTCCGGATAATTGTAGATTAGTTGACGGTTAATGAACACGTTGCACTTGTGAGCTAAAATCGCGTCCACTTTGCGTTTCATTTTTAGCTTCTCAGCATCCTCGAGTTCAGCAACCTTAGCGATCGACTCGCACTTCATACGGGAACCGAACACCTGCAAGTGAAACGAGGAATAACAAAGCTTTCTGTAAACTTAGCGAGAACCAATATCGATTAATGATTAATAATGACATATACATATCTAAGTCCTACAAAATCTTATAAAAGAATAGTTAAATAATTCGTTCTCGCCTTTTCCTAAATATCTTAATTAATTTTCCAATGAAAAAGCATTTACACATACCGCGAGAACATGTATAGTCAACATGTAATGTCTCACGGGCCACAGATGTTAAGAGAACTACAACCACATAACTTGTATTTGCTAGATCTTCCATCATTACTTTAGCGTGTGTCGAATTTTCTAAACGATATGAAATCGTGGGCCAACAACATTCGTCCTGAGCCCTGATTGAGTCGAAAGCAGCCAAATTGATTACAGTCTTACAAAAAAATCTACTCATTAAGCACCACCACACGACTAAAACACTCGTCTGAAGCAGTACAGAAACAGTGATGCAACAGGTCCCGTGTAAACTCTCTCATTTTTAGAGCAATTCACAAAAAAAACTTTTTTATTGATACAATTCATTCATACCATGCAGCACAAAATTTATGAAAGAATTGACCTAAAAGAAACAAAAATAAACGCAACTTTTAATTGTTCGAGAAACTTCGATCACATGTTCGTCGTCAGTAGTTACCCCGCAACTTTCCTACATCAATGAAAACAAACAAAGATTGTCCATCCAAATTATGAAACAACTGGAAACTAGTAACTAATTCGATAACACAATAGCTAAATGCAACCTGCCTTAATTTTGTCGCTATCCATGGGTGTGTTGGCAATGAGTATTTGAGCCTTTTCCACACGTTTCGGCTGATTCAAGCCCGGTTTTTTGTCGAGTAAGAAACCCTGCTCGAGGTGAGAATCAAGCATGCTTCCTCCGAGTTTCTTGATAATGTGAATTGCGTCCAAATTAGATTTGCCCTTTAGACGCATAACGGCATCGACGGCCAACTGTGCAAAAAAGTCTTTATGCTGAGATAAAATCTTCGATCCAAGGGTTGTGCGCGCAATATTAAGAACATCGATTCGAAACTGCGCTTCATCGTTCGAGCGATTTTGAGAGAATTCCTCAAGAGCAGCGCGTGCCGCAACTACAGCTTTCCGCCAACCGGCAATAATTGTTTGCGGATGTAATCGCATACCAACCAGCTTCTCAGCTTCCTGTAGGAGCTGCGCGGCCAAGACAGCAACCGAGGTTGTGCCATCGCCAACCTCATCGTCCTGCGTTTTCGAGATATCCACGAGAACCTTGGCGGCAGGATTATCAATACCAATCGCCTTGAGTATCGTGGCCCCATCGTTTGTCACCTCCACTTTCGAATCACGCGATGTTTCGCACAATAGAATTTTGTCCATTCCTTTGGGCCCAAGCGTGGACTTTAGTAGATCTCCAATGGCTATTGCGCCAACGAACGATGACAGACGCGCATTCTCTGCCTTTTCTTCTTCTGCCTGTTGGTTGAGAATTTGGACGGGGTTAAGGGTACCGAGTTGTGCCATGACGACTGTCTAAAGGAGTCTTGTCACTCGCTTGTCAGATATTGCAGCAAACACGATAACGCTTCGACGATTTACCCAAATGACCGCCAGCCAAAGATGATTGAAGACAAAAGTTTAACGAATCGACGCGCTACTGTCACGCAGCAGTTGTTAGCAGCTAGACAAATAAGGCAATGCAACCACAAGTGCCGCTCCACACAACATGCCTCGTGAAACAAAGAAATTTGCCAGGGTGTGAGTAAACATCAACCCAATAGCAGACAACTAGACATGACATTACTCGATGCTGCCGGTGGGCAGACCAGTAGCAAGGGGAGTTTGTTTTCTTTTGCGATTTGAAAACGCGCCAGACTCTTGGAGGGAGCATCTCTAAATGAAAATTCTGTTTGCTATATGGTAATTGCGTATAAACGAATCGTTTTATGTTGTACCTTTGACGATACACTGTTGTACCATGTAACTTGAAATCTGTGCAGGGAGTGTGGAAGGGCAACGTGAAGCGGTGTTTATTCAACGTCCCAGCAACAGTTAGGTTCGTCAGATTCGTGAGCATTTGGGTTTCAAAAGAGACCCGCCAATCCCATTGTACAAGGGGGGTTCTCTTGACAACGGTTGGTTCATCAACTCTGTATGTGTACGTGTGTGGTAGGGAATGGTTATATTCAAACAGCAACCCCGCACTGTACACGATCTAACCACGTGTACTTGAAGGGTCGACTAACAATTATAGACGGCTTGAGCAAACGCGTCCTGATGGGCCCGAGCAGATATGGGGTATCGCAGAACTGTAAAAATAAAATACAGGTTCGATAACTTCATCTCAATGATCTTTCGATTCGATGTTTTTGGTATGTGCACACACTACGTACACCAGGTACTGTAGGAGGCCATTTTTTATTCGTTTATCGGTTAACATGTGAATGTTATCTTTTGTGGGAAACGTACTGTGTATTCCATTATTACAGGATATGTCGCAAGAATGACACACTTGGGAAACACCCTGGAGGAAAATATACCCCCAGGACAAGAAAGACATCAGCAGAAAAGTGAGTTGTGCATCAAAAAGGATAATAAAAAAATGACCAAGAATAAGTATATATTTTTTCGTAGTATTCTAATTAAGTGAAGGGAACACTTCTCAAATTCGTTAATTTATAGGCTCATTATTATAAGAACACTATAAGAAAAGGGTTTTGAGTATTTGAACTATTTGCTTGAGAAAAATGCGTTATATCCGACTGTTTTGGAAGGAAAAAGAACTACTTGGTATTCTTATTAGAGGTGTCATTTGAGAATATATTAAGGTTCCTCGGAACAAACTATTCGAGATATGTTGTTCTCTTTTCATTCAAATTTAAAATCATGTAAGCTATAATAAGAAAGAAATATTTAACAATTATAGACGTGAACGATTTGAGCATCAAAATTGCATGGTCATTAAAATAATAATTAATACATATTTTAGATTACATTTATTATTATACGCAAATACATTAAAAGGGCGTCTAATCTTACGATGCGCTTTTTCCAGCTAGCAATGTAACAGGTTTAACTGACATAAATCGCTTTAAATAAACCGGGTTCTCATTCGGCGGCAACAAAAAATAGCTTAGCCCTTAGATCATGTAATTATATAAAACAAGTTCTTTTAATTTTTGAGAAAAATTAATTAATTTTAATTAGTTAACTTTCTAGCATGCATTTTTGATTTCTCGGAAACACTTTTTTATTAATCTTAATTACAATTCAATTCAAATTCCAAACTGCCTGGAAATCAGCTTGCTTTTAATATGAAAACGTATCCATTTCTTTTCTCATACAAAGAAACTGCTTCTATATTTTGCTAAATCTGGCCAAAAGGCACAAGCACAATAATCCTTGTTGCAGCTTCCAGTAATGAAAAAATGTTAATGTGCAGCTATGTCAACAGTGTTTCCAAATTCGTATTGATTAATTTCAGTCCGTGGCGCGAAGAGCCTCCTAGAGCTTATAGAACGTCAAAAAAGGCGAAAAGCACTCCGTACGCAGACCACTGCAGGACTGCAAGATGATCAGGTTAACGTTGATCCATATCAACCTAGGCAGGTTGTACAACAGAAAAAGGTATCGGCTAAGACTATGGTCTCGTGTAGTTCTCAGCCATGCTTTGTGCAAACGGAGTTGCGATGTGAAAAGTCTCTTACCGAGATTTCTAATCTGGGCTCTAATGAGTCTCATGTGATGATTGAGAGCCAGGTGTGCGGTACCCAGACGTTTGTGGGTAGTCCACAACGACCCCGCTCGCATGAAATTTGTTCAGTACCAAGCATTTCACCACAGCAATCTCGAACTGAATCTGGCACGAGATTTCGTATGGCGGCCTGCACGAGCACCTCACGGAGTCCACGAGCATCGAGTAGGTCACCGAGCGCAAGTACCCCGTCTAAAACTCCCAGGACACCCTTGACTTGTAGTCAACAAACGCCGCCGTCATCACGAACCTCAACAACACAACGCAGTCCCAACATAAATGGAGCCCCTCTGGAAAGTCCTCAAACACCAAGGACTCCGACGGCATGTGAGCGTAGCACTGGATTAACAACGCCTCCACGATTGTGTCGCTCGAAATCGGACCCCTCACCGAAGAAATGCGATTTGCCTCGGAAATCATCTAAACAGAAGCCGCCATCACCTAAAAGATCTCGAAGCAGTGATCTGCTTCAGGTGAAGCCACTGGTAAATACCTACCACGTGATCACCAAGGTACCTCAGATTCGCGCACGGAAAGGAGCCCCGCGAGAGTTGCAATCCAAGAGCATAAAAGAGGCATTTGTATGGAAAAATTATGCTACATCACATCTCGCTAACAACAACCGAAAGGGTTTCAAGCCAGTCAATGATAGCCCAGTTATACAGAAGGGACTCCAGCAGCAGCAAGAGTATGAATCACCCAATCTGTCTCCAATGGAGAAGGCCAGATCGGAAGCATCGGGAAGCGGTCTACCCACACCTCATACCCCACCAGTTTATAGCATTCCGCCAATCAGTGCGTCAAACAGTGGACGACAGTCCGTAGGGCCTTGTAACGTTCATAGTTTTTCTACAAGCTATATAGATAGAGTAGAAAATTTAAATGATCCTTTATTTGAGGAATATCAAATGCCGTGTCAACAACAGCAACAACGGCCAGCAACGCAGCAGGCTAAAAAACCTCTTGTTTCCACTCGAGTTCATTCGTCGCCGCCGAAAAAAACTGTAAGTAAGGGAATTGCGATGTATGTCCCTTTGACAGAAGGTGCTAGCTTGACTCGAATGACGGCAACAACGCCGAAGCCTCCGCGGGTGCGAAAATACAACAGAAGCGAGGTTCTTGCGTTTATGAAACGCAAAAGATTAGAAAGGCGAAGACTAATGGAAAGGCGGAATGCGCCGCTTTTGTCTTCTCCATGCAGTAAAATTGGAAAAGAGAAAAAACTTCCCATTGATAGTGACAGGAGCGGTAGAACGCTCGCCGAGTTTAAACCTCTTTCTCAACCCGTTAAATTGGCAAGCGAAGTTGCAGAGGTCGCCAGGAACTTGTCCAACGTTGCGTTCACAGCAAAACACGTACATGGTAAGTAGAAGTCGACGTTATGCAGAGCAGTAAAACAGAATTAGAACCTGCAACTAAAATTCATTGACAGAGTACTTTGTCTAATACGTTTACACTGTTTGTTGTGATTTTTAAATTATTGTCCATCAAGGAAGAATTAGCTTTATCATTATTGCCAGTTTTGTATTTCTAATATTACTACAACAACGCGATCACCATGGGGAAAATTACAATTGATTACAGCATGATCACATAAATCAATAGGATATTTGGAGTGGGAATTATGGTCATCCGCATGTGCCGACAAAGATATTCGTCGCAGACATGCGTCTTCAATCAACTCCCGCTTGATTTGGTCACCGCTTAAATTAATAGCTCAATCCGCTCATTTCTAAGAATGTATATACTAGGTTTGCGAAAGTGCTTTCATACCAAGAGTGAGTGACACGATATTGATACTTGAATATGTTGAAACATGCCAGAGATGAAGAATCCAGCGGACTTACATTTTAGGTTAATAGTCTCAAAAATCCCAAGTTACCAAAAAGTCCAAAAGGAAAAACAAGAAGCTCAAAAGCAATATGTAATACTTCTAATACTAATATGAGATTCAATACTCGTCACAAATTACTTGTAATATTTTTCTTTTTATTAACTGTCAGCCTTCTCAGTGTATAGAGTGTTACAAGTCTCCTATACTGGCGTGTAAAAACTTCGCTGGATTTCTTATACCTGTATCATAACCGAAAACGGCATAGTGCGTCAATATTGTAAATTAACAATCTGGATGCGACTTCGCTTGGTGCGTATGAGGCCCGAGAGTTATGCATCTATTTTATTCCATTCAAAAATCAGCAGAAAAAGGTCTCATTTAAATACAGGCTCTACGTTATATTTTGTAATGAAAGCTACAGGGGCGAATCTCGCTAAGCACGTTTTTCAAAATATGAAAAGTAAAGAAGCAGCACTAAATCTCGAACTTTCTTTTTGTTTGAATATTTTTCGTTGGTCATTCTTTAAGAAAGCCTCCAACTGTCATAACAAATTGATTACAACGTATTGCAATCATTCTCGTACGCAATGCCTTTCAAAAATGCTTTCATCGGAAAGTAGTCGAGGATCAGAAAGAATTTCTGTACAAACGTTCCACAAAATCACGAGTGTATCCTGAGTAAAATGTTATTTTACTATAAACGTTGTTTTCTATATTAAGTAGGCAACAGAGTTAAATATTCTAAGATATGCGATTTTGTGCATTTACAGCTAATTCCCCTGAGCTGGATCGCTTCACGAGACTTCTAAATAATTTTGACCGAGGTGTGACGGATCTTTTATCTAAGTGTGGATTCGAAGAACTTTATCTACATGAAGCCCTCGAAAAATATGTAGCAATGGATATGCCAGTGAAAGAGAGACTCGAGAAAGCTATGAGACAGTTCGAAATACTTCTTGTGAAGTTGGGTTTACGCGAAAGCAGACTTGTGGTCGAACAGATTTCCACTGATGGTTCAGGTAGTTAAGAAAAAATATTGGGCTGAAAATAGCTAATTAATCAAATTATGTAGAATAAACGAGTATTGATTTAAATTTTGATGTTGCAGTGTTTTAATTTTGCTGTTCTCGTCTTGTGTAGTGTTGTCTTTGGAGTTATTCATTTTGCTAATTTAGCTAGTTTAATTCGAGCGGATATGCATGATTCTTTTGGGATCTGAATTTCTATAACGGTCAAATTTGCGGCTAACTGTATTCAACTCACATCTGTTTGATTGAGTGTATGCAAATATTAGTTGGAATAACACCCATAATTAGAATGAATAATGAATTTACGTCGGCGAAAATTACAATTAGTTGTTTTCTTGTGTTATTATCTTCAAGAATTATTAGACGATGTTGCGTGTTTATGTTCTTTGTTTGTGGTGTGTATCTGTATGTTTGTTCGTTTCTGTATGTATTTTGCAGCCCCTTCATTGAAGACATCCGCTGAAACAACTCCATCCCGTCCCAGGCCCATAATGCTTCAAAATGGTCTTCAGCATACCCCTCGGCCTCAACCTACACTGAGACACTCTAAGGAATACTTATTTTCACCTACTGAACATTCTCCTTTACAGGTTCCTTGCGAGGACATCGTTATGGAGTTAAACGTTCCTACAAAACCCAGGGTTTCAGTTGAGACCGCTGTGCAGACCGAATCTGTAGCAAGAGATCCAAATTTCATCCATGAATGGCGCGATAAATACCTCGTCGCTGGTTTGCATTCATCAACTCCAAAACATCCTTGGAGCACAATCCAAGAGCAAGTTTCGTTTAATAATCTCGACTTATCGCACATATCTAGTGAAGAGCAAGAGGAAAAAAGTTCTAGTCCTCACACTTCGGATACTGCCATTAGCGAGATAGATGATAGTGCTATCGTTCAAGCAAGACAGGTGCTCCGTCAGCTGGAAGTATCCGAAATGAACATCGGAAAAGCACAACAAGTTCTTAAAGATATTCAAAAAATTGAAGATAACTCTTGTGTGACGTCAAAGGGGGTACACGTGCAAGATGCTAACCTTGAGGATACTAAAAGAAGAAGCAAAAACAAGTCCAATATTAACCAGGATTCTTCCGTTGAAATCCTTAGGGAGTCAGGTTTAAGACACAGTCATGGTAGCATTAGTGCAACATCAAGGAGTTGGAGTGCACTTAGTGTAATCGAAGGAGACGATATCCTAGAAGAAGCGAAAAGAGTTCTGAAAGAGCTGGATGTGACCCGCAGAAGTTCAAAATTTAAGAGCCGCTTAAATGTATCCAGAAATCTTATGGATAGTTTTGAAAAGGCTGCATTAGAAGATTCAAAAGAAGTAAACGAACCAAAGCGTATCACAAGAAATGTAGTTCCTAAAAATGTACAAGAGGATAAACGCTTCGCTCCAGTGACGCTCAGTTGTCTCGTCAGCAACGAATTAGATTTCCTGGAGGATTGTAATGACACCTTACTAAAAATGAGCGAAGTTTCACGTGCTCAGTGCTACGCGTTCGCCAAGGAGACCAATTTAGCCAATCAATTCTTGAAAAAGGTATTTGCCAACACAAATATGATAACCGGAACTGACTCACGGTTCGAGTTCAGCCTACCCGAGCGGCCGTTTGAAAGTGCTGATTTTTAGTATCTATACTACTTTGTTTAAATTTGCTAAACAAATTTTGTTGAAAGTAAGGTCAGCACTTCACATGATATAAAGTCATTAATTTCTTTAATTGACTTAAGAAAACTGCTATAATTGATGATGCATAAGCTTGTTCAAAGAAATCATCCTTTAAGTACAAAGACCTTGAGCACATTCATAGTATTCCAACTAATCGAATTCAGCGTTGTTTTTGAAGACTGAAATCTGATTTATTAACGTGTAACTGATAAACAAATATATCGATCCACAAAGAGCTACTTGAAAATACACACGTTTGCTATTGTTTAATATTAGGATCAATACAAAAGCCCTCCTCGAGGCGATGAGCCTGTTGAGCCATGTTCTGCTGTTCCAACGGTTAACGACACGCTTGTCGATGAGTTGCGCCGCAGCCTTCAAGAGGCATTCGATCAAATTGAGCAACAGTCCCGCGAGATGAGTTTGCTCAAAAAGGACATGTCAACTTCAAAAGGTCAGACGTCTCTCCGGTGAATAGTTAATTATAAAATATGCGTTGAACCTTTCGAATATGATATTAGGTCCACATTTCTACTAAAATTATAGTTAGGTATAAACCGGTTAATGTGTAAAGACAAGCATGTAGGTTCCCGACCTCCCTACGACAGAAAATCGTTTTAATGAAGACATGCTGGGCAATGGATTGTATATGTCTGACGATTCGTTACGATATACACTCTAATCTCCAAATTGGGGCAGCGGTTATAATACAGTTTGTTTTCCTTCTAACGAAACGGTTCGAAACGTTTTAAAATAACTGATATAAAATAAGAAATAAGATTGCGTATCTTTTTCCCTTCTGCGATTTAATCCTATTTTAATAGTGCTATTACATTGCCCCTATAATCAGTAGAAATCGAGAAAACTATTAACTAGACTACACATTCTAGGTGAAAGTCCCAGCAAGGCTACAGAACTTTTGAGAAGTCCCTTGCCCACAGCTCAGTTTACCAAAACACCAGCAAGGAGTCGCACGTTAGCGTCTGCAGCTCTGCCAAGCGAAGATGCGTTGCTGATCGAGAGTGGTGCTCAGGAGGAAGGTAGCATGACTTCGGGATCTGCCCAAACCGCAAGTGAGGCAAAGTCAGTTACCTACACAAATGAAGAAAGTTCTCGATCGGCCTCTAGTCAGATGACAATATCGGTGGCAGAGCTTAAAGGTCGTGATGACGGTTCAAGTGCTGACTATAAGAGGCTAAGCACATTGCCTCTACAAAAACTCCGTAAAACATCTGCACACGAGAAAGGAGATCAGGACTCTGAGAGTGTCTCGCAGGATACACGCTCGAGAAGTTCGGACACTGAAAAGGTGACTGGCCGGACGCGCACATCGTTGATCGGTTCGGAGTATTTTTCTGCAGTTGACATTTGGTAAACGACAAATGATACTGTAAAATACTGATAAAAGCCACAGGTATTATTAATACAATATTTGTTTACTTAGTTAATTGATTTTAACTTCGTCTTTCAGTCGGCGAAGTCCTCAGTAAGCGTTTCGACTGTGAAGACGCTTAATTCGAAACTGGAAACCCAGGATATTCCAGTGCGGACCAAGTCGAAAAGTTTTTCACCTGAAAAGGGTACCGTGGATGGAAGGGAGTCACCATCGTTGAGTACGTTAAGTAAGAGGACAGACAGTTTGACTAGCACGATTTCCACTGAAAAGGTAATCCACGACCAGCAACGTGAACGGGAAAATGAAAACAGCGATATTGAACAAGAAACTAAAGACATGAAGCATCAAATCGTTGCGGACAAAGGACAAACAGCCAAGGTTGTACTAGCTGGCGTTCTCGAGCGAATGCTTGCGTTTATAAAATCTATAATAAACTATATCTTTCTATGAAGTTTGCATGCGGATTTTTGTATTCAATTCAATCGGTGGTATCGGACATTTTGTTGCATTCGGCTGCATACCATCTCTTTTGATGAATATTCTACCAAAAACAACACGTTAAGCTGGTAAATGAATGTAAAGAAGTCTATGTCTTGCGAAAATCCTTTCAGATGATGTGAGTTAGTTATCGATAGACCAGTTTATCATATTTCAAAATGGGATCGAACATAGCTTGAGAGGACTGTAATTGTAATTAGTAGTTTGAGAGCATTACATGGAGAGCATTCATGTCCAGCGCATTTAACACGTATATATAAAGATTCCGTGGTACTAACGGAACGTTCGTAGACCGGACATTGTTTTCCTTAACGGCACGAAATTACTACTGGATTATATTAACGACATAAGAATTACAGGCTCAAATAGAGTTTCTGAAAGTTAATTGCTTTAGGAATTGAAGCTTTATGGCTTAAAGTATTAGTCACAGTCACTTAAAGTGCGTCTTGATATCGTTGAATGCAATGGCTAAAGCATAAATAAATAAAGCGTGTACGTAAAAAAACAGCCTCTGACAGAATTTGAACCCAATTCAAACTAATCGACTAAGTTATTTCCTCAGTTTGCAACTAGACCACGAGAACTGGACACATTTCACTTTCTAAATTATTAAATTATATGAATTAAAAAAGACAAAAAAAAGGAACGAAACGAATAATCTGAATCTTTATATCTGGCAAGGCCAGTCATCCATATATTAACCTAAAAATTCATCATTTGTCTTTGCGTACTCTGCATGAACTATGTACAGGAAATTTCGCCTACGACATCTACTTTTCCTATCGGTAGTGCACCGTTGACTTCACGGACGTCGCTGCTATACGAAAATGGCGCTGGAGGGGATCCCCTTGTATCAGCACTCGTCGAATATATGGAACGCGGAGAGCGCCTTTGGGAAGAGCATCGCTCTGAGGGTTTCCGCTTATTGAAAGGTGTCGCTGTCGGACTCGCAGCGGGACTTTCAGCCTCTTCGGACTCAACACTCGGAATTGCCTCGTACGTGAAACGCAGTAATGCTTATTAGCTACATTTGATAGAGTGAACATTTTAATTAGAAATAGAAATATTCCACGAATTTATTTTTAACATGGCTGTTAAGAGATTTTTAAGAAGTTCGGGCCCTTGCACGCGACATACCTGTTATATAATTTGCGTGAAGAAGTGAAGTAGCAATTTTTTAAAAATAATCTTCAACTATATATAGTACAACACGGTTTATGGGTTCACACCGCATTTCCTGTGAATTGATGGCCAAATTTAACAAATGCTCTCAACAGTTTATATGTTCACAATTCAGTTTGGGTCACTTTTATGATAACTTCGAAAAAAATTGTGACTAGGCTATAGATGATTCGCAGACACTATGTCGTTCCTGTGGAGAGCACTTAATATATCCACGAGATGCACACGATTTCGTGCGACGCAGTGCCTTTCACTTGATCTTTATGAAGCGTTTGATGTATTGTAAATATGAAGCCTATGTGCGCCTCATGCAAATCTGTTTGACGAAAGTGCTTCAATACAAGTGAAAAGAGAGAGTTTATTCTTTCTAGCTCGCTAACGGTGAGCGTAAGCAGTGGCAGTAAACATATGCAGTTTAGAACAAATCTTATATGGCTGTATTCTTTGCTTTTGTGCTTGTACATTGTAGACTAGAGTCATTTCTTCTATCAAAAATGCCTGAGCAGCCTAAATCAACCGAACGTAAGGACTGCCGTAGCGAGGTACAGAAACTACTAAATCTGCTTGCGAAACGGAAAATATCCCAGGACAAAGTTGGCAAGGAAAAGATAGCTTCCCATTCAACCAGTAGTTCGGGCCAACAATCAAGCAGCAACAGTTCCTCAGATGAGAGTGGTGAAGTTCGTCAAGGAGACCTTAAGCAAGACGATGCTGAAACTCATTTAAAGATCAATGGCACCAAGGGCGCCATTGAAACCTCCGTTTCCGCTGCCGGTAGCAAAGGTGAATGAAACGTTGCGTAATGTTCACATCGCAGTATTCCAGTAGTAGTTTTTTTTATTCATCGATCTATACGTTCAACTCTCACATAGGTTGCCACAAATGTTATGTTTGCAATACATATTCGACGCATTCTTTATTGGATATTAGTCAGCTTACATGTTATGAATTATATTTTAGCTTCTTATAGATTTAGGTTGCTAACCTAATAATCAGTGTTAGTCAGGTATCATGCTGTTCCAATAATTTAGTAGCTTGGTTAACGGCTGATGCATCAAAGATAAAAATTAAAAAATCGTGTACATTGCTATTTAGTGTGTCACTAGTCGATAGTTTTATACCTATACGAATTCAATTAGACAAATTATATATATAATTTGTTTGATAATTTAGGGGCGTCACTGAATGGCTCAGCTAATAATAGCAGTCGATCAATCAGTTTGGGAACCGCGGATCTTATCGAAAACGCTGACTTGATCCGACTACTAATTAAGCGCAATGCAGAAGTCGCTCAAAAAGAAAAGTTCGTCAAATATTTAGAGCGGGAACGACAAAAAATAGAAAGGAGATCAGAGGCGATTAAGGTAAATATGCGTGTTTATTGTTGAGCTTCTGCAATTCACAATTCAGTTGTTTAACCATACATTCGATTACCGTTTTCCGAAGAAGTTATTTTTTTTTCCGAAGAAAACATGTTTTCTCCATTGATATTTCCTCCAGAGGAATCGTTTAACAGTCTAAAACGCTCGCTCTTTGACAATAGTTGAGAGATATATTACATTATTGCTTCTTACCATCACCATATATGTGACAATTTTGTTATTGAATACACTTTACAGGGTAGCGGTTATAACTCAAAACATTGTGTTTTGTTTGTAAGACTGTATTTAAAGAAGAATAGACCATTCAACGATTTTTTTTTATTGTGCTCAAAGCGTCATTCCTGACGATCACTTTGACCCACATGTGTCTTCTTAAGAAAACCCAATACCAAGCAGTATTAATAGGTGTTAATACACTATATATTCTAACAGTATAAAATGCTGAACTGGTAGCAGGTCAAAAATCAACGCAAAGTATTAAAACGGAAAAAGCTATACAAAGGCACAACAGTTCTCAAAAAAAGTTATCCGTTAGAACTTATCTGGACCAATCAATTAACACTTGATGTTCCCTTTACACAGCACTTAATCTAAACAGCACAAAAACTCAAGTGTATCAAAAAGGGTTTATTGAGACATTTTGGTAAGTTTTCGAGACCTTCAGATTATAAATCCTATTAAGAATCTTCCGAAACAGGACCCATTATCGTTCGCCGCCAGGAGTTTGTCGTTTTGTCTTAGACAAAGTAGACTTTCGTCTGGTGCTCATTACGACATACGATTTGCCAAAATTTTTCAAAGTAAGACGTTGCTCTCTATATGATTTCAGAAACGAGAAGCCAAACTAGTGGCGGAGATGAAGGCGGCATTGGAACGCGAACGCGAATCGAAAATTTCGCTTGTGAGAGATGTGCTTTCCGCCACCAATAAAGACACGGAGAGTATCGAGTCTAGTGTCGAGATAAAGGAGAGGCAGTTTCGCCCCAGTCCTCGACCAATGTCAGTACGCAAACCTCGAAGCCGCGCTGATTCGTCAGGGTCAGAAGATATCGCCAGTATGTCCGAAACAGACGCTTCTGATATTGAGGGTAGCCGAAGGGCACTTCGCGATGAGCAGGAAAGAGAGATTCGACAACTAGAGAAACTACGTAAGGTTCTGGAAACACCAGAAGCAACAAGAAGACCTGGTCGCAAGGAAATGCTGCTCAAAAGAATCGAGGTACTCGAGAGGCTTCTAGCCAACAACAGAGCTGCCGTGGCAATGCTCGAATCAGCTACCCATGTGATGCCCAAGATCCGTCGTCCTCGCGTGGCTGTCAAAGAAAAGGTTGAGCGAGGTCAGGAAAGCGAGGAAAGTGATGTGTCCGTTGCATCGAGGGATAGCATTGCCTCAGAGAAGATTCGTTCTGCCATAGAGAATGATAAAGATGAAAAGTCATCGCACTCCTGTAAGGATATTTCTGCAAAGGCGGAGAGCACGACTCCGTTGGCTACGGCTGCAGGTCTAGAGAAGGAAAAATCAAATGACGCCGATGCATCTGAGAAGAGCGATAGCTCAATTGCCTCTGTTCAGTCGGCTACTTTATCTCACAAAAGTATTTCGGAAAAATCATTTAGCGCACCCACGATAGATTTAAGCCTTGGAGATGCTAAAGAATCGTCTAACAGATCTGAAGAGGCTGCTAAGAAATCTAGTGAAGAAGTCAGAACTAAAACTATCGAGACGGTACCTGAAGACCCAGCTTCTGACACATCAAAATCCGAAACGGGGTCGTTTTCCGTAGAAATTCAGTCCTCGCCAAGTAGTTCAGACAGTCCGAATACTAAGGAGCGCAAAGTGGATGCCGCGATGGACAAGGTCGTACAGTCACTTAAAGATGACACGTTTAAAGAGGTGGTGAAAGCGACTCGCGTCGACTCTCATTCTGCCAGAATGATGGAACGATTGGTTGGAGAAGCCATTGGTGATATTTTCAAGACCAACGCAATGAAGGTAAAAATACTTCGAATACTAATCTTGCCAATGATATTGTAAATAATCATGTATTTAATCCGAATTCAGTCACGTCTAATTTACGTCGATTGCCGACGTCTTGCACATCATGTTGATGTATTGTTTGTATTGGTCTCATTTTTAGCCTACCGAATCAACCGGTTCCGCAGATCTTGTGTGGCTATCTGAGGGGTTGGCCGATGAACTTTCGCCTATTTCATCTCTGAATGGAACATTGGCGCGAATAGGGCAACAGATTTTTGTGGACGACGCCAGCCAGCAGGTGTGCATCCGAAAGATTCCCAACAAACCCCCGCCACCCTACACCCCACCTAAGGTACATCATCGCTCACACGAATCTACATGAAATTGCACTTGCACTGGTACCAGATAATAATTCCGTCCCCAAAGAAATATAGGTTCGGAATATATATACTTATCTGACTATGCGTAGACGTCGTTAGAGGTAGTCACAGTCGCGTCTTGTATATTTCGCATGAAGATTTTCTATTCAGCTATTGTTTATCCAAACTTCAACTATTGTTTCTGTAGTAATAATGTTCTTTGAAACTTAGCGTCAGTCCATAAGGACGGTTAGATAGGTCCTTGATACTACACATAAGAAGTGATTTTGAAAACCTGTTCAAAAAACCAGGAATAACCTATAGCGTCGAAAGAAATTACTGGAATTTCCCGGTAACTACTCTGTTTATTATATGATAGACTCATGCGATTGCTATATCCTGTTTCTTCCCATCATAGGCTTCTGCGGCCTCGGACACGACTAGTCACCAGCCCAAAGCTGTGTCAATAGCTCCGTCGTCAAGTCTCACATCTGAACCAAGACAACCTGAGCCCGTAGTCCCCATGACATTAGGCGAGTTACAGACAGAAGCATCACATGCGGCCGAATATCTTTACGCGCAGTTGGCGAGTGGACAAACCTTGGAAGAAGCCAGTTACGAACACAGTCACTGTGATGGTGTTGCCGATATGGCTAAACTCCAGTACGGAGAGATGCTGTTCGATGTGGCAAAGGAGACAGCCGAAAAGATGTTCAGGTATATATATATATATACATATGTTATTATTATTATTAACTTTAGTGCACTGGTGTGTTACAGTTATATCGCCTAATGGTCTTCTTCTATTATTATTTAGCTGCTACCTTACGCTGCACTTTCCCTACAGATCCCTATCGATAATGACTGCCTTAGGTATTCCGTTTACGCTTATTATCCGTTCGAGAGGCAGTACTTCGAAAGAACTTTTCACTTTGTAGCAGCTGGCGTGCACAGGTATCAGTCGTTTAGACTGACGCTTTTCTGCATCTTTTCTGTGTCCGCGCGTTCAGATACTGATCCTGTCGTCGAGGCGCTGTAATGAATGTATGAGTGGGCCAATATGCGTGAAACAGTTATATTCCATGCTAAGCCTTTTCCTCGAGTCGAATACGGTATAGTTACAGCGTTCGGTTCCTTTACCTCAGCTGGTGGTCAACTGTTTGGTTCGTAGGTTTGGGACATTTCTGCTTAACGCGGTGCTCTTACGACACTTGAGAAGACATAAACCGTTATTGGGCACTGCGTCGTTTATAGGCATTCCATTTAAAATGGCCCACGCAATGGCACTTTTAGCTTCAAAAGGAAACCATGCAAAATAAGCTGATGCTTAGCATGGTACTAAGTTGTCGAACGGGGAGAAAAATTCTATTATATTATTACGACTAATGGCAACGATTATTTCCTGGAATTGCAGTGCATTTATTATTATATGATTCATTTCAGGGTGGGACGGAATAGCCAAAACCTGTTTTTGCGCCCATTACCACCAAAGGAAAAGCAACAGGCCTTCATCGATGCTCTCGTTGGAGCTGTTTTAGCCGCCGAGAAGAGTAAAAGCACCCGACCCAAGGGCATTTGGTCGTATATCAATAGTCGTCGAATGGACTATATCGATTTCATTATGGGCAAGTGAGTATCAAAAGTTCCTTTAAATAAATACTACGCTTCTCAAGTTTATCCGGTGGCTTAGTTACGGCAGTAAGTTCTGTACTGCCTATTAGGTTTTGATGCTAAATTGACCACTCGCGCCACTCTTTTTCTGAATGAATAACCTCGATGTATCAATTATCGTTCGTAGAATGCTTGTGGAATTGCACCGTCGTACTCAAACTGTCGTGCTATTTTTTTCAGAGAGGTTCGTGAAGAGGAGCGCGAATGGACAGAGTATACACGTTGTGTCGAGCAGGTCCGCGATCAGTTGGTGGAACAGGTGACCGCGCATGTAGTTGACACCAACGTCAACGCTGTTCTGGCAACGCTGTAGACGAACGGCTAGAAGCATATCATTACTATTATGCTATTAATTATGTATATATCGGTGTCATTATGGATGGGAATGATTAATTAAATTTTGTGTACAGGAAATACATCGCTGAATTGAGTAGCACGACATTTTCCGACTTTTTGTAATAATATAAAATCATATCACGACAGACTACATGATGAGAAAAAAGGATCATATAATGGACATGTCAGCCATTCCCGCTACAACATATGTCGTCGTTCCAGTATATAAAATGTTGAGAAGGTACAATATAGTTTAACATAAGGGTATAGAATAGCTGTAAAGGCGTCAAAGACAGCATGGAATCGGATGGGTACGGGGGGTAAATCTGGTTAACAGATAAACTCGTCGAGGGATCGTAATATAGGGCCCAGATGAGTAGTTAATGCGCTTGTTACTCTCAACAATAGCAAACTCAGGCTTACCACTGTGCCTTTTTCGTTTTACGATAATTTATTTTCAATTCTCTCGCTGAAAAATAGCCGTTCTACCTCTAAACGACTGCCATTTCCCTACTATTAATTTACTACCAGTTGGTGTGATTCACAAGTCTGATTCAATGACGATAGCTGTTTCACATCATAACATGCGTGCAGATATGAAATTTAATAGTTGACATTTATGAAGTATATTATTGTTTTCGCCATAATTAATGTGGCAAGTATGAAATGAGTGTTTTGAAGAAGACTGCCTCAACAAGTATATCACTGCATGTGCTTATGCTAGCACCAGTGATCACGACGTGCAACGATAGGTAGCAGGAACTCGTAATATTCTTTTTATGTGTTTATGTATAAAGAAAGAAATGCTACGAGCACGTATTGTGTCAATATAACAGTTGCACCCCCGTAAGCATTAAACAACGCTGGGTTGCGTTTTGATACGAATAAAGTACATGTAGCTCTATTAAATCGCCTATGACGGGGACAAGGATCTAGCAACTAATATTACCTTGTTTCGTTGACAAATATTAAAATCCCACAGTAAATCCACGCAGACTAGACATGATTTACAATTACTGAGGCAGGATGTCAATCCTTTATGCCGTGCCTTGAAGCAGAGCTCAATATGTGAAAGAGCCATACCCAACCATATCAATTTTTTAGTTTTAGACACCAGTTTTTTTCGTACCATGCACTGATCTAGCTATTCAGTTAATTTTTGAGAAATACTCTAGTTATCGTTTATCGCACAAGTATATATCCACTTCCCTTTGTAGTCAGTTGCTGATATTATTTTTGAAAATATAATTGAATTTGTTTTCTGTCGATTTTGAATTTGTTTGACACTCAGTAGGGTTGTTCAGGTTAGGCGTCACTCAGGGACACGTAGAGTCGGCGTCAACGTATTCTTCTATTCGTTGTTTTGAATGGACTAAATTTAAATTGCGCGCCGTGACGACTTCACTATGCGTATTGATATAGTAAGAAATAGAGATATACACATACTCAGACTGTGGATAAAAAATGTTGATCCAGATCATGAATATATTCATGGGTATATGTATGGACCAATATTGTGTCTCTGTGGCCCACTTTTTGTACATATCATACATCTCTAAAGTTTTTTAAATATATCTGTTTTTGCTAATCGCAAATGTATTTTTTAAAAACGTGTTTTCGATTAATAATGGTATTTGACAGAGGACAAGACTAGATAGCATACTGTTGAAGGACAAGTGCAACGAACCCATAACGTTCCGATCTCAAACACCGACGTAACCATAATAATTTGTTGCCTGTTTTTTTATAATTTCTTCGTACCTAAATGCAACTTTATTAAAATTATCTACCACCATTATGACTATCTTAATAAACGAAGTACCTGCTTTTTTTAATAACATGCTTTTATCAGAAAGGACGCAAAAAATGCATGTACGTCCATGTTTCTTTAGCAGGTTTCTGTAGAAATCTATGGAACTTCAGCCAAATTCAATTATAGATCTTGTCATTCTATAGACAATGGGATTAAATTACCGATGTTATTTTTTTACAGAAAGCTGAGGTATTTTGGCTACATAGGAACGATTTTCTACGAGTCAACAACTCTTTGACAATGGTACCATGAGGATTTTCCTTGAAAAGCATTGCTACGGATTAATCTCTTTCAAAAATGAAAATTAACCCGAGAACTTTCATCTTCATATAACAATAGAATCTGTTTGATTTCGTATACACATATAAGGTCATATATAAAAAGTCATTACGCCCTGGTACTGTTTGGTGATTTTGTTGGTCAATAGCATATCAAGCCTGCCTATGCTGAAATTTGTCTACCATGTTGTAACGATTAAACATAAACAAAATTTCAGCAAATCTTATTCCCGATAATGGAGTGTTCCAGCCACACTGTGTCTGTTGAAATTGTCTTTGTTGCTGAATAACAGCTTCGTTAATAATCCTGTGATTTGGCAGAGAAAAACTAGCTTGTTTAAAAAAAATTTGGATCTCCTGCTTCCCGCGTCTCTGCTAGCACCTGTAAGAAAAATCCTATGAAATTTCACATTGATAAAAGCTGTAAGCGTTTATCACATTCGCGAAGTGTCGCGCATCTAGAAGTATCAAGTAATCCGAGTTTGCCTAACTTCATCGCTAGGCGATCTTACGCCCAATTCGCGATGTTCACTAGTGTAAAAAAATTTACAAACGCATTCTGCGTAGACTGGCCTTTCCCATTTGCTATCAGCTTGAATCAGCGGTAGTAACAAAAGAACCACACATTGTAAACATGGAGACAGTTCATCTTAGTATTTTATTTTTAACGTTCAACATTTGTTCTTTCATAGTTATCCTGTGTCCTACATTGAAACATTTTCCGCGATTGCCGCTATATATTTATGTACATTTGCACGATAATTTCGAAGGCAAAGAAACACATTTAGGTCACATATAGCTGACTAAAACTGTCTAGCTTAATCGTTTTAGATTATTTCTTGGTTTTCTCTCCATCTAACGTTGTCCGGCGCAGATCTGCATGGAACAAGATCAAGGAAATGGGTAACCCTATTTATTATAATACCAGGATGAAGATGTGATTCGACTATAAGTTGATAGTGACGACAGTAATAGTCACTCTTATTGGTTGTAGACAAACAAGATTAGTTTTAGGGTTCATTTGAGTTAGACCGATGCAAGACGTTCTCGTCGTAACCACAAAAAGATATTTTGGTTAGAGAGAAAAGAAACTTAATGCATTTGTTTTTGCCACTATCATAAGCTCGATTTTTTGTTCCTTAAAGCGAAAAAATAGCAGCGTGTTCAAGAGTATACTAGAAGAAAAGTCAGCAAATTATATTGTAACTAGCGAGCACTTACATTTACCTATTAATAGAACGTCTTAGCTTATTAGTAGACATATTAGTATTTGTTATTAGCGGAACTGGATTTCACTATTATTTTCGATACTGTTCGGCTGCTAATTGAGACAGACGAGGCAAGTTCGCACAGCAAAAGTGGCTGTAGACTTCCTACAGAGATTAGGTGGTAGTAGTAAACTAATCATTATATTCAACTATGCGCAGCGTATGCAACATGTCGCCGGCGTATGTTTGCATGCAAATATTAGTACTGAAAGTACACAGGGTTTGGGTTAAATTTTGCGCTTAGATGTAGCTAAGTTTTTTTTGTTTAAAAAAGCGCTTCCATAAAATCGAGTTTGTATCTAAGTTTGTCCAACTTGCACATAAAAAAAAATCGTAAAAAACTACCTGAAAAAGTGACGCTGGCCCGTGGATTTAAGCATGGGTTGATGAATATGTAGCAACCAGGAAATCATTGATGAGCTCTTATTGGATGTTTTGGTTGGCTAAGCTCTGTACTCTGTTTGCACCAGGCTCGATATTACTAGGTGTGCAAAACGAAAAACTGGTCTATCATAGTGAATCCAAGTTGAGACATTAGAAATGTCTCGATAGCAATGTCTGTTTTGTTGATACGGCTTCTTGTCATTCGTCCTTATGACCATTTATTATGATGTTGATGTGGTTAAGCTGACAAAGATGATTGAAAAATTGTCGTGTAGATGATCGTTTTCGCTGAGAGTGAAACAATGTAGTTTAGGCGTAAGCAGGAAACAGTTTTTGAATTAAGCGTGACATAAGCAGCGATATGCGGACAGGTTATTGTTGAAGTGGTGCGATGTCACTGAGGTATAAGTGACACCTCGGAAGATTCCGCGCCTACAAAATAGAAATCTCCGTTCAAAAATGATCCCAAGGAGTTATCTACGTACGATTTTCACAGATTCTTAATAGGGCATCTGCGGTGGTCATGTTGAAAACGGCACCGTACTTAGTCGCCACACACGGTCTCTAGCTGGATGTAAAGCCCTTTGACCTTATTATTTGATGCGGCCAATTCGTCGATCGTATCAGCAAGTTTGCGTTCTAGGCCCGCACAATAGCTCTGTAGGTCCTGTGAAATTTGCAGCACAACAATGAAGAAAGATTAGAACTAGTCAGAATGGGTAATTTCTGTAAAATAAACTGGGTTGTTCTTTTCTAAAAATACTATAGCATCTCGAACCAGGAGCTTAATGTTACTAATAGCTGTGAAGAATACTAGCTCGTCTTTAGTTTGAATTGTATTGGATTACATCTGGATCATGCATATCAGTAGAGATTTGAAGTTCTGACTTTTGCTAAGATTTTCTAGAGACTTAGATTTGGAGAGCCATGCACATCCTTGGATATATAGTTGTACGTTTTTAACTATTATGTCTATCAGAGCGAAAAGGGAAATCAGAAACCCAACCTACTAAAAATGCAATGTTGCCAGCAAGCAGGGTCATAGGACAGGGATTGGTGTAAATAAGTTCAAGAGCCAGATATTCATTCTACATGTTTTTAATAATCGTTTGACAACTTGAGTTGATGAGCTCTAATACTAACGCCCATAAGTTGCGACTGTTTGCGTATTATTTTTTGACATTCTTCGTTGTACATTTCGGCTTCGCGAATTTTCGCCGCCATTTCCATCATTCGACCACCCATGATGTCTCGCAGAACTGAGGCATCCTGACGAGCAGCTTTCTCATTGTCACCGATACGCGCCTGAAGTTGCTCAAGCTCAGATTTCAACTCTCGCCTGAAAAAATGAGTACACGTGTCCATGTAGGATTATCTTTTAACATTCCGTAAATACGGGTAACAGTATTATTCACAAACTACGGCAAATGACACAAATCTTATGCGATTTGATCGTTCTGAGAGAAAGATGTTACGTACGGCGTACCGGAATAATGTAATGAACTGTAGAATAATTCGAGCGTTTGGCACATCATACACGCAACTCACACATCTAAAATGTAAAATTTGTGCAATATAAACACCAGCAACACAAGAAACAGCTGAAAATCGATTAAACTTGGACTGGCACCTTCCCTTAAAAATAATTTTGTCGTCTATCAGTTTTTTAAAGGTAGCTAAACCTAAACTTATGTTAATACTGTCCGAATGGTTTGAGCAGATACCGTATTGACTAAGGACTTCAGCAAATTGTTCTGTTTTTGTCGCCATTGTTGCTCAGTCTGAGAATAGTCAAGAACATCTGCTTCCGGTCAAGCCTGTCAGTCGTTTTGAAAAACACATGGCGTGTAGCACTAGCCCACATCTTCTGTTTTGCTTGGTTTTAATATATGTTTCGCGTAATCCTTTAGTCGAGACTTTAGACGTCTAAGATTCTTTAATGGTTGACTTTATCTATTTCACTATGCCAGTCGATTGCTTTATATCGACTCTGCAATTCACAGCGAGTCCTTGACGAACGCGTGGTCTACTCGTTAACATTTATAGCAAACATACGCACAGTATAAACAGTTATCGGCTATCTAGTTATTTTTGTCGTGAACAAGTTACTTGATATGTTTTTATAACAATTGTATTGACGGTGGCGCAATACCAATGATAATAACAGTTATTGTTATTACTATCATGAGAATACTGTTTATCATTTTTGTAATTTATAATAATGGTAACTAGATTTGTCAATCAGTTCCTAATTCTCAGAAACTGTTCTTATGACCAAAATATATCGTCTGCTAATTATATTAAGCGATCCGATAATGGTAGGTTTATTATAGAAGGAAAAGTTGAGGACTTGCGAAGATCTAATAATAAAATCCTATTGTGGATACAATCGAAACATAGTGCTTATCTTCCTACAAAATAGAAACTCAGTTCAAATGAACACCCTGCTAGCCTGAAAGCTTTATTCCTTTTACATTCAATAGAACCAATGTAATGACAGTCTACGTGTGCCTTCTCGATTAAAGGATTCATACGATTGCAAGGGATGGCCTAAATAGTGTTGCCTGAGGAAAATATTGTTATCAAAAGATGGCTGCTGCATCGAGTCATCGCCCTGTTTGCGTACGTTCCTATCTGTTCTAAATGCTTATTTCACATCGTCTATAAGAACGAAAACTGCAGCTTTGACAAACAAAAATCAAACGAGTCAATTTGGAAAACGTAAGCTTTGTCGTGCCGTTGGCATATTGTTGTAAAAAAGCAGACCATCGTCTCACTCAGTAACTCTCGTTGAGTAGTTACTGTAACAACGTATTAGCTAAGATCACAGTGGTGTATTATGGATGCACGTACGGATGTAAGTATATTTGTTATCGTAAGTTACCGCAGTCCGTTCTATTTTTGTCAGTGAAGATGATCTGTTTACATTCAGTTCATTATCCTTACCATCATATGTGAAGGAGTCCCTGGTAACGTAATAGTAAATATCACTAATCTATTAATAAAATCAGGTTTCAACTGGTGATCACAGTTTAAAGCTCTATATTGTAGACGGACTGTAAGCTAACTTACACAGCAGATGACCCTTGTCGGCTGATTTGCTTTCTCCTAATTGTGCCGCGGTCTTCCGCTGAAATACACAAGTGAATGAACTAATTAGATAAAATATGGCGATCTACCTTTAGTTGACACCTTTTTTTTGTCGATAAATAATGCAAGGCAACCGCATAATGATGCAACGGATGTAAAATTTCCAATTTAGCATTCTATAAATATATAAATACATTCGATAAGATATGGCAACTTACGCAAAGTTAAGTCATCTAAGTATGAAGCTATTGAGCCATTTTTAAGCGTACTGTTAGCTAACATAACAACAAAATAACAAATGGCTTAGTCGGCCAGAGCTGCGCTATGGACCTTTGCCCTAAGAAGAGCAGTTCCGCCACCACAGACCACTTCGAGTCTCGGATGCTCTGACGGCAACTTGTCACCGTTGTGCTTCACATTCGTAAATCAACGCTGTTATTATCTGCTCGGCTCAATTACCTCAGAAGCTTTCGGGTCCACAAAGCTTATAAATGACACTCGTTCCCGCTAATGCGAAACGGCGTTGTCAGCCGCGTACCCATATATATATACAATCCCTTCCACATGCAATACTAAGCGAATCATAACACAGCATTGGCTTCAGCCAGCCGACATTACACGATTCGAAACGGCATCACAGACAGGGTAGCAGGTCAAAAATACAGGAATAGATGAGTGACAAATGGGGAAGGTGTCAATGAGTGGTCCATTGAAACACGGTCGCAGCTTTCACTTTTTCTACGTAGAGCTGTATGTAAACGAAGCTAGATCTGGCAAATCCAATCATAAAGCATCCTAGTATCGTTGTGCTTTTTTCTAATAGCGCGCTACTAAAGGTTACTTCAAAGAAGCCTAAATTGCACAGTCATGTAGAGAAGCATTATCATAAACCAGAACTACCCAACAATGTCTATATTATACTGCCGCGTGTATTACTAGCAGTTGTCAGCGACGACAGTAATGTACGTCGTCATATGGAATACTGCCGCCGCGTTCCTTGGGTGTTGATTTGAAAGGCGCGTGCTTTGGCACGTTTGCGGGCGAAGGAGGCCTTTTCTGTCAAGTTGAATCATTCATTAGAAAGTTGTTTAAAACGTCCTTAGGGGTGATGGCGTTGACTCCCGAGCGCGGTCCTGCCATTCGTTCACTGGTCACCATGAAGATAACATCGAATTAATTATTTACAGCAGCAGTAGGGGATCGATAGAAGCAGCAGAGGGAAGTGGTAGAACCTCGTCATTGAACAATTTCGTCACAACAACGTTAAGCTGCGCAGCAATAAACCGTAAAACATTCCCGTAGTCACATTACAAACTGGTAGCAATTTCCGTATGTTCAATTAGCAGTTCGCAATACCAGTACAATTTACAGACACCGCTCTGTTCAGATTATTTTCTAATCATAATTTAATTTTTAGGTAAATCGTGCATAAATGAGTAGACCTAAGGAGGTTGGGGCGTAAGCGTTTCAGTTTCCTCATCTAACACGCGTCGTTGGCTAGGATGGCTGACAAAAGAATTACGACGGAAAAATGAGCGCCAGTGTCTACGGCGTAAGCTAAAAAACCGAGGGGCTGATGGGCGAAGTGTAGCTTGTTCTCTTCCGAATTGCCCAAAGTTGATGAGGGAAAGTATCCTGGATAGCAGATGAAGTAATCTGCCAACCCTGACTTCAGTCATAGCAAATGCATAGACGATTTAAAACGATGTCCCCTCTGCCATCAATGCCGTATTATTCGTGAACACCGACGTTTCCTGAACGGATATGGTCTCTTCCTTTACAATTCATCTATCTAGGTAATTATACTTTGATATATATAGAATGTACGCATATATTTTACGTAAAGAAGTGTAGGCTTTTCGAGTAAATGCATTACTTGAAATGCACCTTGTCCGAGATGTGACAAGGCCAATCGACTGTTGCAATGGACTCGTTCATTACCATGTGGAAAGCCACATTAAGCTACACCTATTACAAATAAGTATTTATTGGAAGAGTTTGATCATGTAATCGGTCGAGTAAACGGTGAGTTTATGTCTAATTAGAAAGTCCCGTGTTCATAGCTTTTATCAGAGGGAGTTATTGTCTTGGGTGCAAATTAGCCGACGTTTAGTTAATCAGCCACGCGTACAGACCAACGTATAGTACGTAACCAACCATAAGCAGACGACCGTGCTATATCGCAGGCTACATACCACCGACAAGCTATCGCTTGCTCGTGACCCGCTACGATAAGTCGATGAAAGGCATGACCACGCTTATTTCGAATTACGCTGTGTAACCCTGGTTGTCTGAAACCGTTGGTACTGGCCATCCGCACGTACCGAAAATAGCCAAACAATCTGTGCTCAGCCGATAACAAGCGGCAGACAAAAAGTGAGCCATAAATAAGATACAAATGCAAAGAAAACGTTCGAGGACCAGTATGAACCTCTAAATGAAAGCTTCGAAGGTACTGATCTTGGCCATACCGAATTAGATGAAAACAATCGTACTGAAACAATTTAACAATGTTCGAAAGTCACTATTTATGTTTACTATATAATGTGATACGTAATACCTTTGTGCAAAAAGCAGAATTTCCGACTGTTTTTACAAATATTTACAAACACTAAGCCATTTTTAGACTGCATATCCATCGATGGCGCTGCACACACAGTTTCGCCCCTTACACGCCCAAATGTTCAACTGGCCTATGCCCTATTCTAGTTACCTATTTAGAGGCTGTCTTCGAAGTGTAGTAGATGGGCATGAAGAAAATTTCTTCCGGTACTGACTAACTATATTACCCCCATAAACATTAACTAGGGCCTAGAAACTATACTTAAGCATTGCCGTAAGCCCCACGCACGCAAGCAAACCTTGTGACACTCATACACATTTTATCTGTTTGATTGTTCTGAGCGTTTATTCTTTTCCGTCAATCCGCCTTACATAGCGTAAATAATCACTTTGTTCAAGCCCGGTTCAAGATTGTATTCGTTCTAATTCAATTATACCGGTGCTATGGTATTATTAGTGATCTTCTTTACATATTAACGGTATTGCGGGCCGCCTGTGTACAGTGGCTCCTGACCAATACAAAGTACCACAGTAATTGTCATAAGTATTTTTCGGTAGGTTGCTTCAGCAAACTTCGGGGAAAAGGATGTGGAACACCTTAATCTTGTGGATAATTTTTTGTTTTCGTTTAGCTAGAAGTATCTTTTAGAGCCGATATCTCGCAATAAGCCATACATAATACGCGTGGCAAAATATAGATGTATTTCGAATATGTTGTAGATGAACCGTAATGTCAGTCTTATTTTATCTTATCTTATATATATCTAAAAAGTAGCTCCCTGTACTGAAAATGAAAAATAGATTCTCACTTCACCTATTCGTATTATAATTTAAGTGATTACAAGATTATGATTATTACGCATCCAAGGTAGCTAGCTTTAAGCAGTCGTGATATTTTCTGCTATACAAAGAGTTTGGAAGAAGGCGACATTGCTTTAATGGCGTGCTTTCTGATAATGATGAATGAGCGGTCTGACAGCCTCGGCAGTAATAGACGCCACATCTCTCACAAGAGGTCGCTGCCATTTTCAACGACATTAAAACAACGCATCTGGGGCATTGTATGACACCAAAGGACAATTTGTATGGACGCAAATTAGCCGAACGCTGCGACAGGCGAGGCGCTACAAACGCAACGCTGCGTGCCTTACCACGTTTGCACGTTTTGTGTGCGTCGCCGCCCGCCGAACGACACCATCATAAAGACCAACACGTTGGTTGTTTCGCACCCAGGCATGCATGGGCAACAAGGCAGCGTTAGTAGACCAACATGTAGCATACCTTGTGAAAGGAACGATTATAGCAGAACTTGTCGCGTCGCAAAATGACGCCTACGAATAACAAGGAACTACTTTAGTTCTGTTTCACATGTTGTCGAAATGTGGCAACGGTGTAATCGTTGCTCTATCGGAACGATTATTATATTAATTGTAGCGTAGGCATTTTTTTTTCGACCTACCATGTGTCCTATTTCACGAATAAAAAGCGTGTGCATAGGGCAATGCTATAGCGTTCTCGTGGACTCCGTTTATATTGTGCCAGTGCATTGTACCGCGAACGCTGTGGGAAAATCGATTCTGCCGGCTAGAACAACTGCGTATAAGTCAACTACAAGCCATTTGTGTTCACAGATGAACACCTATTGAAATAAATTCTCCTAATGTTACACTGATACGAAGATCTCGTATACGCGCTTACTCAAAACACGCGGTAGAGTCGCCGCTCGTGCTCATAGGGCTTTGTCTGCTTACCACACTTGATACCTACCACTCACTCACATTTGGCTTACAGTTATACAAAAGGAAAAAGGGAATGGACGACAGAGAAACTGCGTTTTCTTCACCGCTTTCTTCACTCTGGCACCACGATTCCGTCTTCAGTTGTCGTCAGGCTTATCTGAACGGTGGACTCCAGGCCCAATCTTTCTTAGTGTCGGATAGGCTAGCACCCTTTGACCACTAGTTGTCATGACAAAAGTGCTAATGGTAGCCCAAGCGAATGGTCAGTCAGTGTTGGGGCTGCGTCTGCAAATAAGGTTGTTGGTAACCCAAGCCGGTTCATCATAGCTGTAGTCATGCTTCATTCGTGTTTGTTGTTCGCAGCAACCTCCCATAGTTCCCGCGCTTTGTCTCTTGCATTTTCATCTGTAACAATGAGCTTCGTCGAATTCAGTTGATACTAAACACCATAATAACTGTCATCTGGTCAACGTTCATCTGTTTGGCGCCCCAGGTCCTACCAGCTCGAGTCGTCCTACGGGCCAGGGAAAAGAAAAGGGCTTTTCCATCTTGTCGGTTTGCTGTCGTTCCCGTCCTCTAACATCATTGTCGCTTTTCCCTTACGACCTTACACGAGATGCCTCATTTTCTGCTGTGATCCCTTTGGTACAACCAAAATCACTACGCCAAGCAACGGAAGCAGTCGACGATTTCAGTCGAGGCGTTCTCATAGATAGAATATAACAGCGTCTCATGTTGC